GAACTGGATGAGTAGAGTAGAAACGGTCGGGCTCAGAGGCTTACTTTATCGCGTTATATGGATGGCTAGTGGACCAATGGATTTACTTCTATAATTGAATACCCTTTGGACCGGTATTGGACCTGGTCTGGACTTCCCTATCTGGAATGAGATTGGTGCTGAATAAGTGATATTTGAACAGGAGTGGTTTGGCGAGCCGTTGAGCATCGACTGAATATGTACAACTACCTTCGATTCGCTCAATAAAATGGTCCGTTTTACCCGTTCCGAGTTCAGTTTTCAAGAAGAGTCTACTCACAAAGCAGGCCTCGAATGTTCTCCGTTCCAACTTAAAGAACAGTACTGTCCAGCTGAAAGTTGCTATTGAATACGCCAAGTCTTCGGATTTTTTAAGAGAAATCTCACGGTGCGTAATAGTTTTTCTTCTTCGGCACCAACCAACCGACAACGAAACGACGAAGAGCTCGACTGTCTGGAGCAGATGTGGTACGGGATTCTGGTCATCGATCATACATCCAGTACACCACCGCCTCGATCCAATACCTCGAGCATCCATAAGACTTCTCTCTATTGGCAAACTCAGAAGATTTTCGTAAAACCATCTTCAACCCCTGTTGAAGATCCATTGAAAGCCTTCGAAATATCGCCTTTGCTTGGTGAACATCCAATAATATCATCAAAATAATACCCACGGTACCATTGAAGCATTAAATAAACTAAATTTTTGGTTTATACTAGCCGATACACAACTCAGTGCTTTCATCCTCCCAAACGGGTCCGCTACGAATTGACTAACCATGAAGGACTAGGTTGGACGAGGCGAATGTTCCGGGATTGGAACCCGGGACCGTGCACGTGTTATAGTGCCTGACTGCCACTACACCTCCTCTGCCTTCGAAGGTCTATAAAATTTCGAATGGCAGTTCAGTAGGCGGTGTAAATTCAGTCAACGATACCTTTTCTGTCTTAGGGGAACTAGACTGGGACTATTTTAGTAAACACGGGCTGAATCTTTTTCTTATCGCTTTCTCTTCGGTGTCCGTCGTGTGATAAAGCGTCTACTACGACAATTCAACCTAGTTTACCTAGTTATTTGAAGGTGGTGACTAGAACAATTCTAAGAGACCAGGGTCCACGTGAGCGAGTTTCCCTTACTTGTAAATACTCTTAAAGGCTTTGCGCATGAACAAAGTGAGTACCACAGTAGTGGACCTTATGTGTGTCTTTTCATTTCGCTGGAACCACCCCAGAGATTGCGCCTCCTGACCTGCAAAGTTTAAAGAGGAACTATACAGAAGGGATGAATGACAAAGTACTCGATCCCAAAGAGATGGAAGTTTCGGTTGGCCCAAAGAGTATCGATCCTGTTTTCAGTTCACAAATTGTCGTGTGTGTTAGTGTGGCACTTGGGAATCTTAGGAACTTTTCCCAGAACGAATACGCAGCCTCGGCAGCAGAACCAGCAGAAATGTCACGAGCTGGGGTACCTCAAGGTATAGTTAGCACCTTACATAGGTAGAGTCGTTACAGGCTTACGAACACTGTTGTTTTGAAGGCACACCCACAACTGATCAGGCGGAGACGGTTCGGGTTTGATAAGGTTTTCTCCAATTAATGAAGCGACCATCGATCGCGGTCGCTTCAATCAAAGAACCGTATCAATCGATACTATTTCGTTTTGAAGTTAATTGTTCCTTTCATGGCTTATACATGAAGTCCAAATATTCATTGAAGTTTTTGACGTTTAACCTCTTCTGTTCTTACGTTTCGTTCACTTTTATCATTCTAAATAATGTTAACTCCATGCTTCTGCTTGAAATTTTTATTTTCGCCATATCTAGAAACCTATGAGAGGATGGGGTAGGGGGCAGGGGTCAGAAGGCCATTCCAGCTAACCTTTCTGCAACGCTCTTCCACTTACAAACTCACAGCCTGAGACGCTACCTTCGCTCACCATAACTAATCTGTGAGAGCCGATGTAGCATCAAAATACCTTGACGGTTTTGGAAGAAAGCTGATTGCACGGCGTATTCCGTTTGCCGTATTCAAATACCTTAATTCGAATTATTGCCCTTGTTGCCCTTAATGAAAGCCTTTCAACTATCCTGAAAAAGTAAGTAGCAATACCCTGGGGACAGAACTCCAATGCGGCTGTGGAGAAGTTTTTTAGGAAAGTCACAAACTTTTACGATCCTTTCAGGCCTACAAAAGGCGATTTCTCGGAAAGTCAGCCTAATAAAACTCGTTTACATGGTTCTTGAGGAGTTCAATAAAAAAACATAGTTAGTAATTGATTTTCAATCGCTCTAATCAATTGATAATATTTTAGATGATATTAAGCTCACCAATCGTTTTGGATCTTCCTAAAGAAACACTTCCAGCCACAATACTTCGACGATGCCTTGAATTTCATGAGGAGGATCCGAATCGAAAGGCTTTCGTAGGTACTTCTCAAAATATGGAAGGCAATGATCACGATCACCCTACTGACCAATATCTCCGTCCGAAAAATGAAAGCACTGGTAGCAAATGTGACATTACTATCGGAACATGTGGAGAAAGGGCACTGAAACAGTTAAAGCCAAGACACACTCTTCACTGAGAACTCGAGAATTACCTAGATCTCTGTCTCAGAACATTGAGCACCTTCTACTTCTGACTAACGCATTTTTTACAGATTCCATCCGAAGATGAACAGAATCCAATCAGTTTCAAACAACTCTATGACTATTCAACGGCTCTTTCATCATGGTTCATTGAAAATGGATTTCAGAAGGTTTGTTTAGAACGTTTCATTCTTTGTTTACTTATATTTACCTGTTTACAATGCAAATGGAAAGGAATTGGAGCGCAATATGGCGAGCTACACACATATAGTAAGAGAACAATCCCGAACCTATTCCGCTGAAGACCACCCAAACATTCCATCCCTCTGGGGTCGTTGATTGGTATCACATCATGGGAAGATAAAAGCCCTGACTTCACCATCCACAAGCAACTATAAGATCCCATTTAATACAATTGCGTTTTCAAAATTTGCTCATCAACTAGCTTTGACAGTTTTCCGGAAAAATTGAAATATTTAGGGCGATGTTATTTTATTGTACATGACAAACTGTTGGCAGTTTGTTGCTTGCTGCCTTGGAGCATGGTCTGCTGGACTGATCGTATCTCCTGCTAGCAGCTCGTTTACTGAATGTGAGTTTTTGAGAAGCCAACCACGGAAAAGCGGTTGTTTGACTTTACAATTAGATCGAACCTGAACAAACTTCTGCAACGACGTGATTCTATGTCTTCAGCGAAATTTCTCCACCTAAGATATTTATGCTGTAAACAAAAACAATAGAGCACCTGCGTTTTCAGATGAACTACAGTACCAGTTGGAAGATTCCGGTGCTAAAATGGTCATTACAAGGGGAGCACTATTATCACGGACAAAAGCCGCATGCAAAAATCATGGCACCGTAGTAATAATTTATTTACTTCCAGTGATGCCTATTACGGTAAACATAGGTAATTTAGAAAATTGCATGTACCCCGGCAGATGGCAATGACGTACTCGATCTCATGAAGATTTTCTCTACTCGACGTCCCACTCCCCAAGCACCAGTAAGGATCGATATGGAACGGGTAGGTCTGATGAAGACTTACCGTGGTACTTCGTCCACCTTATGCCTACGACCTTTTAAGGACCTAGTCTGCCTACCGTATTCAAGTGGTACAAGTGGAGTGCCAAAAGGTGTAATGATATCACATAAAAACTATGCAATGATGTTGTCAGCATTCGTTAGGTAAGTCGTAACTATCGAAACGATTTACCTATTTACCTATCAAAATGGGATCGTCTTCGTTACAAAAGAGCAATGAACCAGTTGAAAGGGGGTAGTATGAAAGCATGCTCACTGGAATTCCGTGGAAAATGCGAAAATCAAAATGAGTACTTGTCGAATACTGTTTTTCAGCGATTTCTGGGCTACCTTCCAACTAGACTTCCTTAACTGAGCCTCAGCGTTCTTCCTTAACTGGGCCTCAGCGCACTCAATAGTTTCAAGGATAATAGTCAGAAGGAGAAACAATGTTTGCGGAGGTGGACTCCATCTAAAATGCTGGTTAGACGTAACACTTCATACCTTGTTCGGGTTATACCGACTGGTACCTTCGGCTGTTCCCTTTATATGGTCTCTCTTTCACTTTTATTATTTGGCCCATGAAAACGGTAAGTTATTAGTGTTTGTCGCGAATTAATCATCACTTTGGCCTATGCCAAAACTCGCAGTCAACCTCCGCTTTCGAGTGGGGCTTAGATGGGGTGTGGTGCAGTAGGAACGAAATTGTCGCGTCGCGGCGAGAGAGCCGTCGCGCGCGAAGAGAATAAATGTAGCAGAATGCAGCAGCAAGTAAGAAATACACGAACAAAAGAAATAACAGTAGAATCATGCCAAAAGTAATAATCGCATAGCGATTGAGCTACATGAAGAACGCTGTAACTGTTATAGTGAGGGAAATAGTCCGCGACAGCCGTGTGCGGCGGATCGACTACACAAAACCGTTCCTACCGCCCCTCTCCCGGCTTAGATGCTCCTCACCTTTGCCCACAACAAGGTCCTAGTTAGAGGATTCCACGTTCTCCACATAAGCTCAGTCCCTATTATCGAGGGATCAAGCGAAGCATCTATTTACTCTGATTGCGAAGTGAAAATATGATAGCTCATTCCTCATTTTTTGCTCATTCCCTGATTGTAAAATTCGCAGGAAACAGGACGATGATTACAAATCGCTGGGTTTCGAGAAATACGTCCCACCTACACATGCCCTTGCTCATCTTCCCTTCTATCACGTCATGGGATTGTTCGGGTAGGTTTCAATGCTTTTGGCTAGCTTACTTATGAATGATAATTTCTACTGATAAATTCTACGTTTATACTATGATCGCTGAAGAAAAAAAGGTGCAAAAGGAAAGTAAAATAACAAAGTGAATACAACGAAAAGGCAGGATTGCGAAGTGGGAAGGCTCGCTCTGATCTTTGAGGGGATACTACTGATTTGCTCTACCGATAATCAATAATCCCGAGACCGGCTCACACCTATAATCAATTCTGATCCGAACTAATCCAGAACTTGAGGAAAGGTTTTCATGCAGCATTTTGATCTTACTTCGATACCTTTCTATCTATTAGGTCTTTCGAGAAGTGGGTGAATGCCCAGTTAATGTAAAATTTTGTAACAATCTAGATTTCTTCCAAGATTTTCTAGAAATTTCTATAGGGTCTTTGTAAGGACACTACTCACTGTAGAGACACGTATGGGCATAAAATGAATTTCGGGTAACATCTTCCGGATTATTTTCGAATCAAATTAGAATAAGTTCGACGAAAATCCTCTTTGGCATTCCCATCGTAATCCTATGATTGTCAATGGGAACCATCCATAGTGTAATTCTGAGTCAGTGGAGGGCATGGAATACACAGGCGATGTCGCACTACCCTTACAGCCACTGTTCTTTCCAATAGTAGAAAATCTCTAGCTTTTGGGATTGCAATCATCACCTATCCCTGGTGATACTAGTATCGCTATATAAGTTCAGGTGTGAATGCTGATGGATTAGTCGCTGTCTTGAAACTTCATAGTCCTTTTTTCAGAATGTTAGTTGCATTATATCATGGCACTACACAGATTATTATGGACAAGTTCGACCTGAAGACACTTCTTCGACATATCCAGAATTACAAGGTAAGGAGAAGCTCGTGACGAGAATTTGCCGTTTAAAGATTTGGTGATTGAGCGACCAGGGATCTACCAGCAGCTATAAACTAGGGCCATACATCGTAAAGAGTTCTTCCTTTAGAAAGTCGGGTGTCGTTAATCTTTCCGAACGAAACTGTAGTTCATCTCTCCCATCTCTACCAGTCTGTTTTGAGGTCCATCTAATTTTTCTCCTCCCTTGTGGCTGGCTATTTAGACACCGTAACCATACGCCAGCGCCTGTTGGCCGCAATCGCAAACTCTAAACGCGCTCGAAAACACTGTTGTATCACCCCAGTAAGTGAGATCTACGCTTTCAGTATCTAATTACAGTTGACAACGGTGGCTGTGGTACCGGCTATGGCTCTGATGATAGCTGACTCACCTCTGCTCGACGAATATGATCTCTCCTCACTGAAGATAATCGCGTGCGGTGCTGCACCACTGGGTACGGCAATCGTTGATCGTCTTTTGGAACGTCTACCGGGCATTATTTTCCGACAAGGATATGGTATGACCGAGCTGTCCGTTGCGTCACATATCGGCTCACTTGACACACCTGAAGGTAGCGTTGGTAAACTGATGCCCGGGACGAAAATGAAGGTGAGAACAGAAATTTTCTAAATATTACTTTATAAACAAAAAGGAGAGTGTCAAAGTAGCTGTACCTGTAGGCGAAGGGTCAAGGCGTTTAGAGAAGGTACTCACCAACAGACCCAAAGGACTCTTTCCGAAAGTCGGTCTTAGCTGGGACGACTACCCCTACACAAAGTTGGCTGGGCTGTCTGACCTCTTTCCATCCAGTTACTACCGTGTGCTGTTCACTATCGCTCACTGTCGCCTTAACTACAAACTATAGCGTCCATAGTCGTTGCGAACCAATCTACATACATATGTATTGTAGTATGAGCTTATTGGCCAGTGAGCAGCCACCTTTTGCTGCCTACCTAAAGATCATGCAAGACTTAAAACATAGAAAATCTATGGAGAATCGTAGAAGATCCCATGGACTTATTCCACTGGGGTCTTTCGTGAATTTCATCAGCATTGCAGGTGGTGGCAGAGGATGGACGACTTTGTGGACCTTACGAGAACGGTGAAATGTGGATCAGCGGCCCTCAAGTGATGATAGGTTATTGGAACAGGCCGGACCAAACAAAAGAAACTTACGATAGCGATGGATTCATGCGAACAGGTAAGTAATCAATGAGCTTTTATCAGAATTGAGATAAATCGTGAAGGTTGTGTTTAAGGTGATATCGTCTACTACGATAAAGATGGGTTTACGTTCATTTGTGATCGACAAAAGGAACTAATAAAAGTCAATGGGAAACAGGTTAGTGGTCTATAAATACATAGCTTACTAATGATTTATTGAAAAAAAATCTTTTAATATAAAGTCCCTTCGCCTAGCGGTAATGATACTCAGGGACATTATAATGAAAGTCTAAATTGCCCCTTCCACTAACTATCGCTCGTTGTCGCCAACTGTCGCCGAATGTCGCTAGTATTGTCGTCTGCCTGTCCCCATCCCAACCCCTGTTATCACTAATTTTTTATTAAAAAAATGCCATTTTTCTTCTATCGCAGTACATGCAAAGGTTTGGATCGGTGCCAAACGGCGCTCCTAGTTGCATGGTCCGCAGATCAAACTCAGGGCCGATATGTGCTCATGTGGAGCGACTGTTTGACCAGAAACTCTTCGTAGGTGCAACGTAACGCTTATGGTTACATAGGTGACTGCTAACAAGTACCTAGTACCTCGATCAGATTGATTTATTAAATTAAGAATAAATTAAGCTACCTTTAGTAATCGATATGTCGATCAATATCTATGCTTTTAAAGGTGTCACCATCCGAAATCGAATCCGTTCTGTTGGCTATTCCGGGCATTACTGATTGCTGTGTGATTGGCATACCCGACGAGAAGTTTGGAGAGATCCCGATGGCATACGTCATCTCAAAAGTCGTCACTGAAGAGCAAATATCAGCATTTGTCAATGGTAATTTTACTATTCTATATTACCGAAATCGATCAACTTTCACTTTGAAGTATAACCGAAATTTGCCAGTCGGTTCCACACCTGGGACCTATCGGTTGTACACCTTCCATGTTACTGTAACCCCGGCTACTAAGTGTCTTCTCAGGTTCCGAGAACGCTCAGCAGAGAAGAAATCATTTTCGAAGCCAACAAATTCTGGTAACCAGTAGTGCTTGATCCCACCGTCGAGCAAAACTGATTTGTTCACTATTACTCAAATTATAGGCCGACAAATTACACAACGAACTCAGTACAAGGGCCACTTGTTTATAACAATGTAATTCTAATTACAGAACGACTGGCATCGTACAAACGTTTACGAGGAGGAGTGAAATTTGTCGACGAAATTCCTCGAACATCTACTGGTAAACTGCTTCGGAGAGAGTTGAAGGATCGACACCTCAAATTGATGGAGAAACGATACCGTAGTCGAATTTAGGTTCAGTGAAATAAAAATTGAATTTCGACAGTATGACAGGAAGAGGCCATGACCTTCACGTTGTTTCAGAATTGCAAGGGCCTTGGAATCGAACGTTAGCCAGCCTTTCCTTCGATGCAGTCGATTACTTTGGAGTATAGGGAACTGAGCTTTCATCTCAAATTGTTTCAATACTTCAAAAGCCAAGAGGAACTGTCGAAGGCTCTATTCTTGCCGAAATCGTCTAATGGCCCTCCAACATACAGATCTGATCCGACTGAATTCGAAACATTCAGAACCCAAAGAAAATTTTTGAGCTCAATTTTTTGACACCTCTTCCCATCTCAAACCAACGGAATACAGTTGCAGAGGGCACAAGGAAAGTACAGTCAAATACCTAAGCGTTTTTTAACGGATGTCTACTATACTGCACTCCTTGAAAAACGAAAAATTCATTTTTCTCCAAATGTAAAGAAGTTATAAGAAAAATATAGTCATACCATCAAAGGAACGAACGAAGGAACAAACCGAATCAGCAAAAATTCGTGGGATCACAACAAAGCACCTCTGGTCAATTCAGACTTTTAGACGCTCACTCGGCTGAGAAAAATCGATAATCGCCCTNTGTTTCGTCCTGAATCTCGAGAGGTGGCAGTAAAATCAAAGAATTGTGGCTATATATTTACCAGTCAGGCATCATTTTCACATATAATAAATGCATAAAGTGAAATGAATATTTGAAGAAATACATAGGCTGAGATAAGAGGAAAAGGGCATCTAACAGGTGATAAAGCTAAAGTGCAGAAGAACAAGTACGATGATGATAAGTGATGTGAGACTCAGAGGAGTTCAACAGACGAGCACAACCATTATAACCGGAAGAGACAACTAAATTTTCTATTGGAAAAATATATAGCATATAAAGTTACCCACTATGTAAAAGCTCTCTTTAAAAAACAAGAAAACCCAGGTCACGCAAAGGAAATTTCATCAAATCTAATCAGTAAAGAGAAGGTGCTGTATTTGGGTACATCGGTCTCGAGCAATTTTGGACAGGCTAGAGCACAGAGAAACGTAGTCATCAGGACAGATAAGGAGGAGACCAGAAAGACCCCTTTTATTCAAAGAAATTCGGAGAAGGAATGATACCTGCTCGCTGCGCGACCTAGTTCATACTACGTCGTGCGATGCGTATGCGTCGCGGTGACCGTATGTTCAAGAGTTAGCCAAAGCATAAACGATGTTTTTGTTTAGCTCGACACTTTTCAAAATTTTGTTACTTTGAATTATCTTACGGGACCTGACTCATTCCTTCTACGGTGTCAGCGCTTTTGTTTCCCAACTCAATCGGGCGAACAACCCAAGGGAAACCCTCCGCTAAGGTGTACGCGCCGCGAACGCGTCGCATGCGGTGTTCCGGAAGTGTGTTTGGAGCGCGGTATTTTCTTAGGGCGAACTAGGCTACTATTTCTCTGTGCTCAAACCTGACCTATCCAATTTTGGTACCGACAATGTCAGCAGTGAAATCACATCTTGTTTGTGATCCGTAATCGATCATATCACATAGTAAAGCAAATAAAGCCGAATTGATGGGATGTAATAAGGGCGATATGCTAGTTATTTGAATTGCTATGTACATGAATGACAGGTAATCGCAAAGAACAACCGAATTGAAAGTGGCGAATACGAATAGAACCAGTAGTTCGTCTGTAAATGTTAGCTGATGTCCCGCCTGGCATGAGCCACTGCTATTTGTAGATACTGTAGCCATTCTTCCGCCTTCTTCTCGTCTGTTGCCTGTAAAATACTTTTGAAAAAAAANAAAAAAAATTCTCGAAATTGAATTCCATGATAAGGGACATGAAGGGGGTGTATCGAAAAGACAGAACTAGAGATCATTAAGGGCATTAGCCGTATACGCCCGCGACCGCCCGCCTAATCTTCTTGAATTGCGGTCAAGGCCTTTACCGTAAGGGCTGTGGCACTGCAAACTATTAAGGAATACTTTTAAAAAATTGCTGGTAGCCGATCGAGAACTTTCCGCACACCCGAGTTGCAGCGATCACGCTGGCGCGTTGTCTAGAGGTGCTACAAAGAGTCTGAGGACCCTATCGACATGGCTTCTAGAAATCCATCAAGATTACTATGCCAAGAAATCATTACAGTAAGCATGAATAAAGGGAACAGTCAAGGTCAAAGAGGTAAAGGCGGAAAGTAAAGTTCAATCGCTGCAAGGGAGCAGGCTAAACAGCAGACAGCACAACTACGCGACTGCTCGCCCGATTTCCACGAGTTGCGGACAACGTTACAGAAGCTCTCCTTAGACCATTTTCGACCATTAAAAATGATAAAAAATGGATATATTGATGAATTTAACACCTCAGCACCAGTGATCGATCAATATATGAGCACTTCGTCCAGAGGCGTATTCTGTGGACTACAGATCACATCACAGTCTTGCACCATCACTTCAAAACTAGTGAAACGAACCTTCAAAACTACCGAAGTGTTGTCCGAAGTGAATATTTCGAACGCTCGTCGTAATGATTTGCGACTTTTTCGGCCTCGACTCAGCGATCTGACGGAGCGGATCGAACGCAGATCGATTGCTGGCACGATCGCATTTGATTCGCTCTGAAATGTGACAGACGACTTACAGAAGGTATCAGAATTCAGGTGAAGACTGAAGCACTAAGTGAAAAAGTTATTGACCTAATAGAATGTTTGAAGTAATTGAAAAAAAAANNNAAAAAAAAAGATCTGAAAATATTAATTAGCATCATTGGTGTAGATACGATACATAGTTATGGCCACTGTGGTAAGGTTTGGTTGCATGCTGGTTACAAATACGGTATGTGATGCATTGCAGAGGTTTGCGGCTCGCGACCGCACGCTCGGTTTTCACATGTTATGTCCCACTCAAAAATTAAAGGCAGAGGCTGGAGAACCTCGAAAAAGTCCAACTTGTTAAGAAGAAGGCCTAAAACTGTTCATATTCACTGGCTCACGGCCTTTTCACGAGATGCACAGAGAAACCAAACCAAAAATTCAGAGGCCTTTCTTCTGTGTGACGGGTTACATCGTGTAGTTGGTGAAACTTTCGAGAACTTCTCCAATTTGATCTGTTCTATTTCGAAATCCCCAAATACATAATAAGAAGTAATTTTGGCCTTATTATAAATGCTATAATAACTGTGTAAAATAGCAAAAAAAGTTCAACTAAACGAACCGCTTCTTCAGAAGTGTACGTAAGTGCCGCACTGGACAACGTGAAATACTTGGTGTGCCATCGTCGTAAAAATCGCCATCGACCTTTCTTCTCCTTCAACTGACCTTCGAGAACGCGTTGCGATCCACCGTCCTCCACGAATGACCTGTGAAAGGGGCAAGAAGTGTAGATCGACAAAACGATTACCCAAAAATCAGTAAACATTCAAGAAATGGATGAAAATCCCTTCAAATCAGCCTTTTAAGAGTAAAGTTTTAAGAGTAAAGGTATGTTTCACTCATTTTTTTACTCTCCTGAACACTACACTTGGAAAAACTCTATACAGCCTTTGGCACCCACAATATTTTATATAATAATTGAAAAGTCACTGTACTTTCAGCTTGAAAACCCTTTAACTTACCCACCCCTTATTTTGAACAACTTGATAAAGTCGATGAGATCAACAACTCTTTCCCTCCCCTACTTTTCTTTTGGTCTAGTCCAAAATTTAGATTCGCCTAGTAGTGGTTATGCCCGCAACAGCTTAAAACTACGCGAGCGGTTGCGAGGCGGCCAGTCTTCCGCTCTAGTGTTCATTGCTCCAGTAATTCTGATTCAACACTTACTTCACACGCTCCGGATGTGAACAACTGAAACAGCTCCATTGATTCGACGGTCCATCAAGGGAGAAACAATCGAAAAACGAGGCCTCTTCGAGTTCCTTGAATAATTTATCTTGTTCCTGAAAAAAAAATCCGAATCCGACGATCACTCGATATCGTAGGGTCACTTCGAAGTTTGGAGTTGAAACAAAAAAGTATTACTTTTTATGCCAAGTTGTAGACTGACCTTTACCGTCGGAAAAGCGCTTGTCACCAAAGTGACAAAAGCTCGTTCCTTTGTGATTCGGGAAGGGAGGCACTCCCAGCATCGAGCTAACGTCAGAAACGGGGCCGATGACTGTGACACAACACCGCAGCCATTTTCGATTGACGTTGATTGCATCTGAAAACTGCCATTGAACGGTGAATTTCACTGACAGCTGAGGGTAAGGTAATTTGGCTCCTATTAATGGCATTTTGTGTGACAATACTCCTAGATGGGTTTTTATCGAGAGCACGCGAACTGTAGCCACCCCTAGATCTTTTAAAGGCTGCGAAGATGGTGTCTGTTTTCTGATGAAAGTAGAGCTGGGGCACATCCCAAAAACGGATTGGTTTACGCCAATGAATTTGCTTTCGAATACTTCGAAACCCTTCGAAATTTTCTAAAAAATACAGCACGCAAGCAGTTGATTCTCGTGGATCTAGACGATGGTGCGTGGCTGGAAACCTCCCAGCCCACATAAATCTATCGATTGTCACCCAGGCAAGAAAGTTTACATCTTTGAGAATAGGTACTCAGCGTAGTAAAAAAAAAGGTCTATGACCTGAGCAAAGGGTTACTGCCTCTAAAATTCACCTGCAGAAACATCAAATGCAACCAGACTGGGGCGAATTTCGTTTTAAATGCGAACATGTAATCGTCATGGAATGCACAGTAGGCACTGTGAACTTGGCAGGAGAAGTGTACGATCATTCGATGCTTTGAGCCTGAAATACAGGTAGGCTGGAGGACTCATGATACTAGTAAAATAAAAGAAGTATTAACAAATTGGTAATCCAGTAAATCTTTCAAAATCGAGGAAGATAAGAGGATAAATCGGTGGACATCCTGAATCAAATGGACACATTAGGTTTGGAAAAAATCGCTTTTAGGAAGTGACACAGACCAATACATGAGTCAAAACCGGACACTGGAAAATGATATTTCACGAGCTTATGATGTAAGCTGAGAGGAAAAGCTCACAGGAACCGGTCTTCCTCTTTGTGGATCTAACTGAGGCAGAAAAAGGGCCGAAACCGGACGCCTCTTTCGAAACTTCCGATTTCCGATCATCTACGAGCTTGTCGGATTCAAAATTTTACATACTTTTTGAGCCTTCTACTGTACATTGTATCGGAATAGGGAATCTAGCTGCTACATCCGAGACGTATCGTCGGATTTTATTTCGGCGATGATCGACAAATTGCAGAACGACATCGGAACGGTCGACGGATTTCTGAACAACAGTTAATTATTGACAGCAGTATTTCAGTCATTATGGAAAAAAGGACAAGTTTTTTTTTGCATACAGAAGGTGCAGTAAAGGTATTGTGCAATTTATGCACCAAGAACGCGAACTGACGCGATGCGGTCAGCTAGAACTTTAAAAGATGAAATACTGTCTTCTCTCCATCTTAAATAACGTCTTTGTAATCGTGCGTATGTCATGGCAATGTAATATTCATTGCTTCTCTTGACTAGCAGGGAAAACAGAATGTTTTCTCTCATAGAAATCGTGTTGTAAGCTTCAAGAAGATCAATGAAGTAAAGAAACAACTGTTTTACGAGATCGCCAATCACCAGTCAACAAATCGCTGCGCATCCGCACGCTTACAAGCCGCACAATAAACAAACACTACTTTTTGCCAAAAATAACGCAAAACATACCGCCCATTGGCGTTCTTCCTCTTCACTGAGCGGATGCATTTTTGTTGTGGTGACTGGACCAGAATTCGCCGGGAATGTGGTTTCGTACGCAGAAGCCCAATTAGCCGTCCGACGACTGCCGATCACTGGACGTACACGACCGTCTTTGCCGATCTGAAACTGCTTCGAATCGTATAAGATCTGGAGAAAAGGTAATTGTTCTGAGCATCTTGAAGTAACAGAAACATGAAGAACCAGAAGGGTGGGGGCAAGGTTTAACGACGGAAATGACAGCAATTTGCTGAGTTTAAGGTGATTAAGGGATCAAACAACTGACGAGTCCTATTGACGACATTCAGTGAAGAAAATTTGCAGTCATTCGTAGCAGTCGATCTTAGGAGCTCATGAAAAAGGTAAGGTGTACTTTATCAACTGCAGAGTACTTCACTCCAGAAATGGGCCGGCCCACAAAAGGATTTCTGAGGTTCGTTGGAGAATTCAGGCTTTACTCATGTACCGATTGTACAAGCCATCAAAAAGATAAAGTAATAAGCAAACAAACAAACAAATTTCAGCCCAAAGCTATCGAAAAATCCTACGTATGGCCTAAAACTTTTCAAAACGAGAACATAAAATCAATCCTGAGCAACATCGGTTGTGATTCTGGCCTTTGAGGAGATCTTACTCTCCTTAGAGCACAATAAACAACTGAATTCCATAGGGAAAACCTACTTTGATTTACTGGAATGCCTATGTTGAAGAAGAGCTATTCATTACAACGAAAGATATATTTCGAACACGGCCTGTACTATGCCGGAATCGGAAACTTCGAGACTTGAGCTCAGAAATCTGTAGG